GCCTACGTGGTGCGCCGCACCTCCGGACCCGCGGCGGGTTCGGCAGCCACCGAAAGCTGGACCGCGGGGTCTGGAGCTGGGCGGTGGGGTAAGGACCCGGTGCTTCGGGCAGAATTGCTGGCTGCTCGGCGTCTGTGCAGATCTCATGTCGTGTTTGAGTGCCGAAAGCACGTGCGGGTTAGGTGTTCTCCGAACAGGCTGTTTATTTCTGAGCACGGCTTTGTTTCCACCTCCTGCAACTCTGAGCAAACTGGCCCGGGAGAGAGGTTTTTTGGAGCAAGAGCCTGAGAGACGAGACTCTTCATGGTGCGCTTTTGATGGAATTGCTGGGCTGTTGCTGCAGAGTCACGGGGTATTTAGCATGCGGTAACTTGTCTGTGGGGTCTGTCGCCCCACATCTCTCCCCCAGCCCGCTCTGGACGTGCACGGTGCTGGAAGACCCAGAGACCTCCCGTCCCTGCGTGGCCGAGGGCTCCGGCTGCGGTAATGGGAGGGTGGCTTTCCTCTGCGAGGTGGAGGGCAACCTGCTTCCCAGCCCTCATGCAAAGCCAAAGGAGGTTTCGGGTGTTGTCTGAAGGGTTATTTAGAGTCTGGTCCTCACTACAAAGTCCTTTCTTGCCATCCTTCACTGCATCACGCTCCCGTATCTAGCATCTAGCTCAGACCTCTTGCTTTCGAAGGCTGGTTTTGCAACATAGCTATGGCGTGCTCTCTAATCTTCTTAGCTGGTTGTGTGTTTGTGGGTGTTGAGGGCATTGGAGACAGACAATGAAAGCTAATTTAGTTCTTGATTATCACCCTGAATGACAATCATAACTAATCTTGACAGGGAAGAAAATCTCACTAGCATTTGCTCTGTTTGCAGGGAAGCTTGCTCAAAAATAATTGAACAGATAAAGAAGGGATTTGTTCTCAATATTATTGAACTGTGTGCGGTGGAAAACTGGGCCGGTCTAGGTGTGATTACGAGGGTAGGGATACCGTGCCCCGCCAGACCGGAGAGGTGGTCTCCATCACTTGCTCCTGCATCTGAAAAACGTCTGAAACGGTCGCAGCACCGCCTGCTTCGAGGGAAGGTGTCGTACCCCTCGATACGGGATTTGATGGAATAACCCCCGCCGGAGACGGCTTCTTCCTAGCCCTCGTGGGGAGTGACTTGCGCCTGGCCTGCGGGGTAAAAGGCATTTCCCTCAGGAGGTTAAACTATTTATCTCTTCTTGGTCTAAAGTCTAATTTTGTGTATTGACTTGGGACAGAAAAAGCTAGTTCTGCTTTGGAAAAGTCCGGAACGGTCTGTAAAAAGGAGGCAGCAGCTGTGTGCCCTGCTTACACGCAGCGTTTTGCTGCTCACACAAAGGGCACGTTGCCAGAAAATCGCCTTACGAAGCGGTCAGCAGGCTTTACCTTGGCCAAAGTCTTCAAGGGTGTCTCTTTCCTTGAGCTCAGGCAGTTTAGGAAGCGGATCGAGTCGGTGTCGGAAGCTTTGTCTTGCACGCCTGGATGGTGAGAAGGTGGAGGACGCGCGGGGACGCGCGGCCCCCTCGCTGCTTCGGAGGTGGGCTGTCGTTCTGCAGCTGCAGCAGTGGGAACTCACGAAACGCCTTGAGTTTGGCTTGCAGCCTGGCGAACCTGAAACCCCTCTCATCACCAGCTGATAGATGCCTTTCCTCCCCCCGTCTCTTAAACACGCCGTCTTCCCGGTAGCATTCCTGAATTCACCCCAGCCTTTCCGGGCTCCGTCCCTCGCCTTCCCGCGCACGTTTTCGGAGCGTTTTACCGTGGGTCAGCATCTCTCCCCCTCTTACAAACAGGATTGCTGAAGCGCGGGGTGTGGGGGGATTCGCCTGGTTAAGGCTGTAGATTAGAATTGGGAATAATTCGGGTCTCCTGATCGCGCCTTTCAGCCTGTGCTCGGCGTGCTCAATAAGGCTGGCGTTGGCTGTTCGAGCGAAAAACTGCAAATGTATCTCTTCTTTCTTGAGAGATAACAGCAGTGGGTAAATGAAGAACCCTCATGTGCTGGGTTTTCCATTAAGCGTACAATTAGATAAATGCAAGAGCCTTTTTATCTACCCTAGTTTAACAATTCTGCAGTATATTTAAAGAGAACTCTATATGTGCCTAGGAACGGGTGCGATGACTGAAGCTGGAGAAATTTAAACCCGTTTTTGCCGCCTGCGCTCTCTGATCCTGCTTCGTTCGGCTCAAGGTAACGAAGCGAATGGGTCAGTCCTCGCGGGCTCGGTGGGAGCGGCTGCCCCGCTCCTGATGGGGAGGAGCTGCTGGACGTTGGTGCCCGGCCTGTTATGGTGGCTTTTCTTGTACCCATCGTTTCCCTTCCTCGCTCACCAGTCTGAGCACTGAGGAAGCAGCGACGGACAAAATATAATGCAGGGGGAGAGTTTCCTTTTACCGGGATTCAAACCTGCACTTGCAAAACGCAAGCTGCAGAGCGAAATGTCATTGAGCGGCCTCGTGAACACCCGTACCCCAGGCTGCTGTTGGACTGGGATGCTGTTTCGAAGAGCTGGAGCGCGAGACCCTGCCGGGCCTTTCGCTGACATCTCTGGAGGAGCATCTCATCTTTTCAGCGTGTGGTCTGCGGAGTCCTCGGGGGCTCATTGATGTTGCTCGGAGCTCTGTGAAAGAGCGCGGCCGGGAAACCAAAGCCGCTGTCACAGGCTTGAGCTTGGTTGTCAGCAGCTTGAGCTGAGCCAGAGGAGAATCTGGGTCTACAAAAGGAACAGATCATTGGTTTGATGTCGGTCAGAAAGGTTACGCGTAAAAGTCCAGCTCCGTCCTAGCACCGGGGCCTGCGGCCTGGCAGCCCTGTCCATCTCTGGTCTTCGCAGGGTGGTTTTGCTGGTGGTCCCAGGAAGGCAAACCCAAGGAAGCCTTGACCTAGATCGTGTCTCCTGTTGCTGGTGTAGAAGCTGATGGCAATTAACTGCTCCTGAGTTTCCAGGGTGGATTTGATACAGATTTGGTTTCTGAAGTGTAACTGTTGTTCCTTTTTCAGCAAGACTAATAGCTCAGTACTTGTTTGCTTTTCAGTAATATTTAGTTTTTAACCTTCTGAAATGTTAACATTCTTTGTCTTCTTTCAGGGCATTTCAGAAGTGTTAATTTGCAAGGAATCATCGCTCTCATGATGGGAGCGGTGAATGGCGGTGGCACTGTTTGCCAGAGCAATGTGTGTAAATATGCACAGGGACGTTAAAACTTCCTTAAAATGTTGTGAGAGGCTTCTGTGAAAATGGTAATTATCCCAGCCTTGTTCTGGTCTCTCCCACACCAGAGAAATAGGAGAAGTCACTGGAATTGCACTTGTTCGTGTCTTCCTGGGGTTTTTTAGTCTGTTTGGAATAATACTGGACAGGGTCTGGATTGCTTAGCTGTAAAAGAGGAAGGCTGGCTTCCCTTCTTTTGGGTGGTTAAATATGGGGAAATACTGCTGCGGCCTCAGCTGAGCGGCCCTGGGATGGTGCAGTTTGAGGAAGGCTTGCGCCGACGGCTGTCTGGCTTGAGAGACTGAGCAGCTCGGGGGGAAACACGCTGCCTGTCGGGGAAACCGTTTAGCTTGAATGGTCTCCGGTGTCTCATGCAACTGAGAAACTTAACGCTCCTCTGGGAGCAGCTGCGAGGAGCTGGGTCTGTTAAAGCTGCTGTGGCTCGCTCGGGCGAGTGCGTGCCTCTCCCGAGGAGCGGTGAAGGGAGCTGCACCGTCGCAGCAGCTGCCCCTTTGCCAACGCACCCCGTAAGGTGTTGGCGGCGGCGTTGCGTGGAGCTGCTTCGGTGTTTGGCGTTAGCTGGATTTGAGAAAGGAGAGGGACGAAGACGACGAAGCTCCCGTTTCTGCAGCTGCTACGGCAAGCCTGGAGAAGCTGTCCCGCACCGCTGTGTCCAGTACGCTCGTTAGCTGTTCATCTTTATTTCCAGAGCCTCTCCCGAGGAGGCTGCTGATCCCTGTGGTGACTGCCCTTGTCGCTGGATCTCATCTTCAGCACTCTTCTTCCTTCATCAGCCCTTCTCAGAGCAGAGACTAATCTGTCACCGCTGCTGTTGTCTCAGCACCGCACTTAGAACCTCTCCCGCAGCTGAATATTGGTGAGAACCTGTGTGCTACGGAAGAAGCAGGAGTGCAGGGAGCTCCTTGGTTCCGTACTGAATTTTGTGGCCTTAACGTACAGCCCTGGCAGAGCTGGAGCCAGCTGCGTTTTGAGCCGAGCGTCAGGAGCTGGAAGACGCAAGGCGCTGGGTGGGGGGAGATGGGGAACGTGGCAGACCGTCCCCATTAAAGAGAGGCGACATGTGAAGTTGTGGTGCCACTGGCTGCTGCCCCATCTACACGGCAAGGCTCTTGCCAGCCTGGTTCTGTCGCACGGGGGTGGGAGAGCGGTGCGACGCTCGTTTTACGCAGGTTTTGCTGGTCTTGCCTTGACTGCAGAGCTGGGCTCTGACTTGTGCTTTGCTGTGCTGGCCCTGCCGATAGCACGGGATGGCTGAAGGTGCTCGTCTGCTAAAAAGCAAAGCCTTAAAGATGACTTGCGTATTTTCTGGGGTGTTTTTACTTGCACGGTTTGTCGGCCTGGTCAGTGCTTTGCCTGAACAAAACACAAAGGCAGGCTGTGGTCTTAATCTCCAGGAAGCTTATTGCAGACTTTCTTGCAGTAAATTTCCTTGTCATCTCTTGACAGACAGATAGTTGGGAAATTTTAAGAAGTCTTTGCAGAAAATGAGTCATTCGGTGTACAAATGGGAGAAGTGAAATGTTGTTCTCTGTGTCTTGGGTATCTTGCTCGTTAGCGTTGGCATGATGGGGAATTTTGCTTTGTCGAACACACGCTTCGTCCTCGTGGTCTCCCGGTGTTGGCCAGCAGTTCCTGTTCTTGCTGAGAACACTTGCCGATAGGTGTTCCCGGATTCAAACGCGGCTGGCGAGCGAGACGTTTTCTGCACCGTGCTGGCGGAGAGAGCAGGTTTGGGGAAGCAAGTGGGGTGCTCCAGCAGCTCGTCGGCCTTCCAGCCAGGGGACCGTGCCAGCCCGCAGCCGCTGCTCACCGTCTTTGGCCTAGTGCTTTGGAAGCTCAGTCTCAAAGAGGCTTTTAAATTCATTACGGTGAACAACACCGGCCTGCTCTGCCCCCAGCAGGTATTTTTTGTGGCAGGAGCTTGCCGAACCACAGGCTGAAGATCTTTTGTTAAGCATAACCTGCTGTAATTCCTGGAGCTTGGCTTCCTCCATAGCACCAGGCAAGCCCCGACGGGCGAGTGCCGGGGCCGGCAGCGCCTGATCTTGCCCCACGCGTGCCAGGGTTTCTGCCCTTGCAGCGGTGTCAGCGGGCAGCAAAGCGTGCCGCTGCCTCGGGTCACAGTCCGGAGTCTCAGCCCAGGCCTGTCTTGGCAGGCGTCTTTGCCAGCGTGCCGGACTGCGGCACAGGCATGTGTTCCCTCTGCCGCGGGGAGACGATTGCTGACAGAAACGTGGTAATGAGTGCTTTGGGGTTATGTTGTCTTCAGCTTGGCCGACATGAGCCCTTAGTCACAGTGAGTGTTGAGCTAGGCCAACCTTAGCCAGCACCGGGAGGAAAACAGCTTCTTCCCGGCTCCCGGGGGGACGGCGAGAGCATTTGGGAGCCCCTCGGCAGCCCTGTTTGGGTGGGGATGCTCCTGCCAGAGGGGCAGTGTGAGAAGGCTCCGCATTGCCCGGCCCAGCAGTGCACTGAACAGCTCCAGCATCGCTTGTACCCACCGACTTCAGAGCTTTTCCTGCGGTAACCTTCCTGCGAGGCAGCTCGCGTCCCTGGCAAGGCAAGGAGGGAAGGAGACTCGCCCGCCATCCTGCAGCAGACAGCGACAGAACCTCGTGCTCCTCTTTGAGCCGCATCCACGTTTGGTGGTGGACAGCTGGGAGAAGCAATTTGTCGGAGACGGTTGCTCCTCGAGTGCCGCTGAAGTCTGGCAGACCTGGCCGGGGGCTGCGTGTGCCTGGCCGCGGTCCCCACCCTGCAGCAGTTTGCTCCACCGCGAGCAGAGTTCCCCTCTGTTTTCCGTCCCGCGCAGAAGAGAGCCGTGTGCCGCCTGCGGCGCCTCCTTCCTGGAGGGAAGGATTCGTTGGATCTGGTAGTCATCTGCCGCCGTTGGATCTGGACGTCCTTTCTGTAAGGTATGGAGGGACCCAGCCCTGCGGTCAGCTCAGCAGCCCTCTCCTGGGACCACGCCTGTCCCCTGGAAGGCTAAAGGTAACGCCTGGATCTTTTTTCCAACTCCAAACGGAGGCAGAAACTTGAGGAGCAAAGTATCTGAGTGTCCCGTTGTCTTGGGAAAAGTGCATTCGGCTCTCGGATCCCGCAGGTCCGTGGCTGCGCAAACAGCACGTCGTTCAGCTGCGCTCCTCCCGCCTTGCCGGCTGCTCCTGATTTGCCTGTCTCGTATGATTTACCGTTCCCTTTCTTCGTCGGTTCGTCGATGATGATTCCAGCCTGAGTTGCTATGGTGACTTTATTGCCAAGGTGCGAGTCCTCCGGCCCTGCATGCCTGCGGTACCGGCTGCTCCTTCCCGCTGCTTGGCACAGCGGAGGGGCGAGCAGGGCTGCTGTTAAAGCAGCATCCGATCGTAGAAAGAAGCCTGCTGGGAGCGATGGAGAGCCGGCAGTGGGTGTTACCGGTTTTTGTGAATGAAATGATGCATTGCAGTCTTATTGTCGGGAGTCCCAGGTCCTGTCCTCACCCCCTCCCAGGGTTTGGTGTCGGCTCGGGGAGGGAGTGGGTGGCAGCAGAAGTCACTGGGGACTGAGGAAGGTGTGGGAGAGGAGGAGGAGGAGGAAGCTGGCAGCGTGGTTGTTCTCGGTCTGCTGTGTCCGAGGTCTTTGCTGATGGGAAGTTAAGCTGAGGACTTAGTTCCAGCCTAGCTGGGCTGAGTAACTAAAAAACAGCCTTGACTTTTGTGGACTAAGCAGGGAGTCCTGCAGCCTGGGTCATCCCAAAGCCCCTGCTGCCGGCTGGAGGGGGGCTCTGCCTGTCGCTGGCTGGAGATGAGCTCGAGGCTGAGCGTGGGACGGTGACTCAACTCCCCTGCCTTTGTCCTTCTCTCTTCAGGGCAGGACTGGGCCACATGGAGGAGAGTCGTTATGGCCTGCCGTCCCTCCAGCCTTCACGCAGCTGGAGTCTCTGGCTTTTCATCCCCATCCAGCAAAAATCACACTTGGGCAGCGGTGCTGTGGGACTTTGTGGACTGGCTTTAGTTCTAGGCGAGTGGATGTGATCTGGGATAAGTGAGCAGCACATGAGCATCGGTCAGGTGCAACAGAGCGAATGTCACTTTAATGTGACGGTGTTGGTGGCTAACGGCTTGACTCGGTAACGAGGGCTGCCCTCTGTGACCGAATTCGCTGCTTTGGAGGCCACGCTCCTGCCCCGTGGAAGAGCTGGCCGGCGAGGAGGGGATTTTCCCTCTTCCTGAACATAACGGCCTCGTTGCTGTGAAAGCTGTGTACAGCTTTTGGGCACGCTCATCACGCCCAGGGGCTGCATCCGAGGGTTGCTTCGTTATCCCTTCCCTGACGTGGTGCGGGAGCTCGAAGAGGGCTGATGGCCGCCGGTGGTGGCCGAGCTGGGGAAGCTTTCTTGTCCAGCTCCTGGCAAAGCGCAAGTGCTGCCTCTGGCTCACGAGCACGGCTTGGGGCTTTTTTAAACTTGGTTCGGCGCCTGGGATCTCTCACCCAGATTTGAAAGTCGAGATCGGATCTTTCCAGGGAGATTCTTCTAAGTAAAAGTTCGATAAGAAATGATCGATGTGAAGTGGTGAGAGCTGTTCTCTTTCATTGGAGAGCTGGGGATTGAAAGCTAAATCCTGCGCTTGAGGTAAGGCAAGTTGGGATGGTTCTGTGACCAGCGCTGCGTCTGCGGCGGTGAGATGATGGCAGTCTGTTCCCGGGCTCTGGGAAGGAGAAGCGGATTGCCAGAGGGAGTATTTGAGAGCCCTTTCCCCCCCTGCACGGTCAGGATTCGTGGCTGGGAAAGCGCAGGCTGCTTCCCTCGTGCAGTCCTCTGAAGCATCAGGTCATGGCCGTAGCCAGCAGCACAGAGTAAGGGCGATGCTGGGCTTTCTGGTGGAGAAACTTTTCGGTGCAAGCGAAGACAAATTGGGGTTGTGGCGTGGTTGCCAGTGTTGCTTCAGCAGCAGTGGGAAACTCCTTGGCTCGTCCCAAGCGGCTGCTCAGGAAGCAGAGGCGAAAAGGGAGCTGTCGCGGCCGGTGATCTGCGGGCTCCCGGCAGCCCTGCGGCTGGCTGGTGGGGATGCAGTGGGTGAAGCTCTGCCTGTTCCTGTTTACACAGGGAATGCTTCGGATGCCAAACTCTTCGCAGAGATGCTTGTGATGACTGCAAGTTTATGGAGACTCGCTACTAAATTTAGCTCTTATCAGGAGGAAAACCAGGCTTGTCCTTTTCCAGATTTGGTAGAGAACCAAACAGCTTTGAAATCAAGTCGTAGGTCCAGCATCTTTCCAGGCTGGCCAAGGCATGGTCTGTATCTTCTGGGCAAAGCAAGACCCAGGCGACGGTTAACTGAGCTGGCAGGGAGAGCAGGGACGTCAGGAACGCTTTGGAGGTGGCTTGGGTATGTCTTGGGTCTTCAGAGCTTTCTGGAGGCTCCTGGAGGGCTTGGGGCCGATTGTGGTCTTGCGATCCCGTAGCATCGCTCCTGGGCTGTTTGGGGCAAGACAGAGCGGTTTGCCTGGAAGGAACCGAAGGAACGCACGTCTCCTTTGCGTTGCACCGGAGCGTGTGTGCTCGCGGGTGCTGTGTCTCGGCGGATGGGAGCACCAGCTTCTGAAATCACTTATCTTTGCTCTCTGAGCCTCCTTGCCTGCTTTCTCGCTCCTGTTCACCTGGAAGCCTCCGTTCGAGTTTAGGGACATTCACTGAGGTTTTGGAGCTGTAGAGGATCGGGAGGTGGGCCTTGCCCTCGCAGAGCGGTGCGTGCGAGGTCTTCAGTGGTTTCTCCCCAGTTCTGTGGTCCCCTTGCGTTTGCCTGTAGCTGACGGGAAAAGGCTCGCTTCTGGGTACGAACGTGCCGTGGCGTACCGCTGAGAAACGGGAAAAACTGCCAAACCCGTTTTAAATATTCAAGGGGGTGCATGAGCCTTGCGGAAGTTTTAGTTGTGTCTGAAGTCTTTAAACATAATTCAGTAACTAATAACACGAAAATCATCAATAGGTGATTAGCAATAGAAAGATGAGCGAAGCTTAGGTCAGAGTGAAACTGGAGCAACCAGAGCAGCTGAGGCGGGAGGGATTTTCAAAGGAAGCAGACGTGTGCTGGATCTCGGGGCTGGTCCTGGCGTGGTTGGAAGGCTCTGCAGTCACCTCTGCCTTGCTCATGGCTTTTCTGCTTTCTCTTCCGCAGGAATGGGGTGAATGTCGAAGGAGCAACGCACAAGCAAGTGGTGGACCTGATTCGCGCAGGAGAGAAGGAGTTAATTCTGACGGTGCTGTCCGTGCCTCCCCACGAGGCAGATAATCTCGATCCAAGCGATGACTCTTTGGGGCAGTCATTCTACGACTACACAGAAAAACAAGCTGTGCCCATCTCCATCCCCACGTACAAGCACGTGGAGCAAAACGGCGAGAAGTTTGTGGTTAGTATCAGCTCGGATGGCGTTTTCTGGAGACGGGATGTGTCCGCCCTCCGAGCTGGCATGCTCCTTGCTGGTAGTGACAATTGGTGGCAGCGCTCTGTTTGTCTTCGGGACGGAGGCACGTTAATTCATTATTGACTGGGTTTGACACTGTCTTACTGAGGCTTGCCCATCTTCACTCTTACTGTGCTTGGCTATTTTGCAGCTGTTTCCTATGGGCTGGGAAGCTTTTTTATTAATGGATCTGGAATAGCTTGATCTCTTGTGAAGATTAAGTAGGAAGTTATTATTTTGTTCATAGAAGCTTTCGTATTTGTATCTCCTGTTTTACACCAAGTGTTAAGGACATCTGTGATAGATGCAAAAGCAAAGGGAGCAGATGTCTTGAAGCGTAGCTTCCCATCTCCAGAATTTCTTTTCCCTTTAGGGAATGTCAGGGAAAATAGCTTTAAAAAGTCTTTTTCCTTTGGGTTCCCTGCCTCTTCTCTTGCATTTACTGGGGAGGCTGGCAGTCTTTTTCCTAGATGCTGTGATCTGTCATCTGAGTACCCGACTCGGGTGCATCCTCTGAGCCTTAAGGTTGATTCTGGCTCATCGGGGATGGCTGGCGGTGGCTGGTAAGGAAACGTGTGGAGAGGGACCCAGAGTGGGTTGGACAAAGACGCTCGTCTGCAGAACTGTTTCTTCTTGCGACATTTGGGGTGTATTTAACCTCCTCAGTCGGCCTGGCCTTGCTTAGCTCTTCTGCTTCCTCGCCTGGCTGTGTAGTGTTCACGGATGTTGGGCTTGCACGCTGTCTCAGTTGCCCCGTCCTCGGGCGCCCCGCGTCTCGCTGCGGGCCGCTGCTCTGAGCACGCTGGGGTCTGCGCTGCAGCGAGGGTCAGCAGAGCCTGCGGCCGAGCCCCAGCTGCCTCCGAGTCTCAGTCAGCGGCTGGTAGAGACAGAGGCACGCCACAAGGGCGGTATTCTTCCCCCTGCAAATAGCTGCTTATTGTTAGGAGCGCAGTCCTACCCATGTCCAGACCGCGTTTTTCTTCTGCTCTGTGTGCTGTCTTCGTTTTTCCAGAGCCAGGGAACTGTGCGGCCATCGGTGGGGGTGGACGATGAGGTGGAGGGACTTGGGATGAGACAACGAGTGTCGGGTGTTTTAATTATGCTGCTGCTTCGACTCGCGGCTGGAAGATTTGTGCCATACGCTGGCTCCCTTCACCCTCCCAGACCGGGAGGTAGGTTTGGCTGGAGCAGTCGCCCTCGGGACACGACTGCGTTGTAGTGTGAAGTGCCGGGAGAGATGACAAACTGGCTCATCACTTTTTCCTCTCCCAGCTGAGGACGCAGGCATTTTCCCAAGGAAGACACAACCAGCGTCAGTGTTTCAAAAGCAACGTGTGTGTGAGAGGAAGGGTGGAGAGGGTTCAG